GGCTCAGTCGGTTGAGCGACTTCGGCTCAGGTCACGATCTCGCGGTCCGTGAGTTCAAGCCCCACGTCGGGCTCTGGGCTGATGGCTCAGAGCCTGGAGCCTGCTTCCGATTCTGTGTCTCCCTCTCTCTCTGCCCCTCCCCCGTTCATGCTCTGTCTCTCTCTGTCTCAAAAATAAATAAATGTTAAAAAAAAAATTAAAAAAAATGCTTCATATAATTCACCTGTGAGTCCACCTGGTCCTAGACTTTTTGTTTGAGAGTTTTTGGATTACCAATTCAATTTTGTTAATAGTGATTGGTCTATTCTGACTTTCTATTTCTTCCTGATTTAGTTTTGGAAGATTGTATGTTTCTAGGAATTTATTTCTACTAGGTTATTCTATTTGTTGGCATATAATTTTTCATAGTAGTCTCATAATCCTTTTTATTACTGTGATATTGGTTGTTAATTTATTTGGGTCCTCCTTTTTTGATGAGTCTGGCTAAAGGTTTATCAACTTTCTTTATCTTTTCAAAGAACTGGCTCTTGGTTTCATTGATCTTTTCTATTGCTTCTTAGTCTATTTCATTTATTTCTGCTTTGATCTTACCATATCCTTCTACTCACCTTGGGTTTTGTTCTTTTTCTTTGAGGTAATCCAGTATCACTGTAAATTCTCTTAGAACCGCTTTTGGTGTATCCCAGCTTTGGACTATTGTTTTCATTTGTCTTCATGTAATTTTTGATTTCCTTTTTAATATCTTTGTTGACCCATTGGTTGTTCAGTAGCATGTTTAGCTTGTGCGTGTTTGTGTTTTTCCAGGTTTTTTTCTTAATTTCTAGTTTCATATCATTGTGATTAAAGAAAAAAAGATGCCTGTTAGGATTTAAATCTTCTTAAATTATTGAGACTTGATTTTTGTGGCTTAATGTGATCTATCCTAGAGAATGTTCCATCTGTACTTGAAAGGAGTGAGGAATGTGTATTCTATTTGATGGAATGTTCTGTATATATTTAAGCCCATCTGGTATAATGTGTTCAAAGTCACGGTTTCCTAATTTTCTGTCCGAACAATCTATCTAGTGATGTAAGGTGTTAAAGTCCCCACTATTGGGGTTTCCTGGGTGGCTCATTTGGTTAAGCATCTGCCTCTTCATTTCAGCTCAGGTTATGATCCCACAGTTTGTGGGATTGAGCCCTGCATCAGGGCTATCAGTGCAGAGTCTGCTTGGGACTCTCTCTCTGTCTATGCCCTTCCCCTTACTCATGTTTGCTCTGTCTCAAAAATTTTTTTCTAAAAAGTCCCCCACTATTGTAAGTTTCTCCCTTTGTTAATTTTGCTTTATGTATTAAATACTGTAGGTGCTACAGTATTGGGTACATAGATCTTTATAATAGTTATATGCTTTTGTTGTATTGATCTTCTAATTCTGTAATGCCCTTCTTTTTCTCTTATTACAGGCTTTGTTTTAAAGTCGTTTTGTCTGGGGGCACCTGGGTGGCTTAGACGGTTAAGTGTCTGACTTCAGCTCAGGTCACAATCTCAAATGTTCGTGGGTTTGAGCCTGGCATCAGGCTCTATCCTGACAGCTCAGAGCCCGGAGCCTGCTTTGGATTCTGTGTCTCCCTGTCTGTCTGTCCCTCCCCTGCTGGCTCATGCTCTGTCTCTCAAAAATAAATAAACATTAAAAATAAATGAATAAATAGTCTTTTTGTCTGATAATAATAAGTATTGCTACCCTGGCTTTTTTTTTCTTTCTTTCTTTTCTTATGGAATATCTTTTTCCATTCTTTCAATCTGTACATATATTTAGGTCTGAAGGGAGTCTCTTGTAGGCAACATATAGATGGGTCTTTTTTTTTTTAATCCATTCCATTGTTCTATGTCTTTTGATTGGAGCATATTTAGACCATTTACATTTCAAGTAATAGGTATGTACTTAATGCCATTTTGTTGTTTTCTGATTGTTTTTATAGTTCTTTGCTATTCCCTCTCCTGATCTCTTTCCTTGTGATTGTTGATTTTATTTGTGTTATTCTTGGCTTTTTATGTTTGTTTTTTTTTTTTTTTTTTTTTTTTTTTTTTTTTTTTTTTTTTGTATATATTGTAGATTTGTGGTTACCATGAGGTTTATAGATAACATCCTAAGTATGTAGCAGTCTGTATTAAGTTGGTTACTTAAGGTTAAACATATTCTAAGAGAACTACTTCTTTATTCTCCCTTTACATTTTATTTATATGTTGTCATATTTTACATCTCTTTATTGATAATTTTCTTCTAATTATGGCCTCTTCTTTTCCTCTTAAATAAGTATCATTAATGTTTTTTATAAAGCTGGTTCAGTGGTGAACTTTTTTAACTTTTGTTTGGGAAATTCTTTATCCTTCAGTTTTTTTTTTTTTTTTTTTTTTTTTTTTTTTTAAGTTAGTGTGAGCATGAATAGGGGAGGGGCAGAGCAAGAATTCCAAACAGGCTCTACAGTATCAGTGCTAGAGCCTGATATAGGGCTTGAACTCACAAACCGTGAGGTCATGACCTGAGCTGAAGTTAAGAGTCTGATGCTTAACTGACTGATCCACCTAGGTGCCATTATCTTTCCTTCAATTCTGAATGGTAACCTTGCTGGGTAGACTATTTTTGATTGTAGGCTTTTTCTTTTCAGCTCTTTGAATACATCATGCCAATCCTTTCTGACCTGTAAAGTTTCTGCTGAAAAAATCAGCTGATGGCCTTATTGATTTCCCTTGTATGTAACTTTTTGCTTCTTGCCACTTTAAAATTCTCTGTGTTTTGTGCCTGAGTGGCTTAGTCAGTTAAGTATCTGTCTTTGGCTCAGGTTATGAGCTCGTGAGTTTGAGCTTCACATCAGACTCTCTGCTGTCAGCACAGAGCGTGCTTTGGATCCTCTGTCTCCCTCTCTCTCTGCCCCTCCTCCCCCTTCCCCCTGCCCTCTCAAATATTAAAAAGAATTTTAGGGGCACTTGGGTGGCTCAGTCAGTTAAATGTCTGAGTCTTGGTTTTGGCTCAGGTCATGATCTCACAGTTTGTGAGTTTGAGCCCCGCATTGGGCTTTGCATTGACAGCACGGAGCCTGCTTTGGATTCTGTCTCCCTCTCTCTCTGCCACTTCCCCACCCATACTGTCTCTATCTCTCTCAAAATAAATAAATTTTAAAATCTTAAAAAAAATTGTTTTTATACAATAAAATTCTTTCTGTATCTTTTAAACTTTGACATTTTTTTTAATTAAAAAAAATTTTTTTTAAATGTTTATTTATTTTTGAGACAGAGAGAGACAGAGCATGAACGGGGGAGGGTCAGAGAGAGGGAGACACAGAATCTGAAACAGGCTCCAGGCTCTGAGCTGTCAGCACAGAGCCTGACGCGGGGCTCGAACTCACGGACCGCGAGATCATGACCCGAGCCGAAGTCGGCCGTTTAACCGACTGAGCCACCCAGGCGCCCCTAACCTTTGACATTTTAATTTGTTATGGTGTGGACCTTCTTGGGTTCACCTTGTTTGGAACTCTCTATGCTTCCTAAACCTGGATATCTTTTTCCTTTTCCAGGTTAGGGAATCTTCCATACAGTTTTCTTAACATCTTTTATCTAACTTATATCATTCTAAGAAAACCATATATAGTACGTGTAGCATTCAGAGTATATATTAATTGATTATGTCATCAAGGTTTCTGGTCAACTGTAGGCTATTAGTAAAGTTTGGGAAGGGGGGTCAGAGTCATTCATGGATTTTAGGGTTGGTGGCTCCATAACCTATGTGTTGTTCAAGGGTCAACTGTGGTTGGAGAGAAAAGTTATCATAATCTTAAACCTGTAAGTTGAACATAATGTGTTCATACCCTAAGAGAAATAAATGTAACCTAGTAGAGATAAGAAAAGTTTAATGGCAAAAGATGGTTTTGAACTAAGTCTTAAAAATATGTATTATAGGTCCTTAATTTTTTTAAAATTACAGGCCATACCACACCTGACCCCTAATACACACACCACAAACAAATAAAACCCTATAGTCTCCTGCATTGTACCCTTGTTCTCATTTCTTTCTTATTTTTCTCTCATTTATAGTGATTTCTTTAATGTGAAAACTTAACGTTTCATTAAACTTCTTTTTATAAATCCTAAAAGATATATTCAAAGGAACCTCCCTTTTAGCATGTAAAAGTTGAATTTAATATATTTTTATCCAAATTAAGTAAATCTGTATTAATCTGTCTCCATCTACCAAATATCTGAGTCAGAAACTTAGCACTCTTCTTAGGCTCACTCTGTATTCAGAAAGTTACCCAGTCCTATTGATTCTTGTTCACGGGCCCTTTCTGTCTGCTCTTGTTGCAACAGACTAGTTCAGGCCCAAATCACGTACCTCAATTGTTGCAAAAGGTTCATTAGAAAACCCTCACTTACCAAAAGTCTAACTTCTCAGTCTATCCTTGCCACCTTCAATTGAGTCTCATTGTTTATAAGTTAAGGTCTAAACCCCTTAGTATTGAGTATACAAATTTATTAAGGATAGCCTCTCCTCTCCTATTAACAATACTATATACCTAGTTCTTCACCTTACTGGAATTATTAAAGTTCTCCACGACACTAGCTTTCTTGGGTCATATACTCTGCATTAGCTGTTTGCCCAATAAAGTACCCCTCTTTACTTGGACAAAAGCTACTTATAACATAAATATTACATATGATGAAGCAATCTCAGACCTTCCAGGCAGAGTTAAGATCAATCTCCTCTGTTCCTATTAACATTTCAAGCATATTCATGGTCAGGTACCACATTGCCCTGCAGTTGGATGTTTTTATGTCTGTTTATTTTGAAGGTGACTTTGAAAGTAAGGACAGCACTTTATTCTTGCAAGTTTTTAATTTATTTTTTAATCCCTAGTTATATAGCAAGTACTCAAAACAATGTTGAATGAGTGAATATTTCATATTACTTGTATGTAGAAAAGTCATTTAACACTAATATTGTGAACTTTGTTCCCCCATGTAACAGAAATTCAAATCTTCCTATGAAACATTATTGAATTACGATACACTTACAGAACATACTGACTTAGTACTCTTCAGGCTTCACTGGGAAAATGTTGCAGTCAGTTTGATGCTAAATGACAGAAAACAGAAATATGAAGAAGGAAAAATGACAAACAGCACAAATTCTGAGAACAATGAAGAAAAGTCAGAAGAGCACATGGATGTGAGGCTAAACCATTGCTTAGCCTATGTTCTCCATACATCAGGCACTACGGGGATACCTAAGATTGTCAGAGTCCCTCATGCATGTATATTGCCAAACATCCAACATTTTCGGTGAGTTCTGTCCTTTGTTTTTTTTTTTTTAAAATTTTTTTTTTCCAACGTTTATTTATTTTTGGGACAGAGAGAGACAGAGCATGAACGGGCGAGGGGCAGAGAGAGAGGGAGACACCGAATCGGAAACAGGCTCCAGGCTCTGAGCCATCAGCCCAGAGCCCGACGCGGGGCTCAAACTCACGGACTGCGAGATCGTGACCTGGCTGAAGTCGGACGCTTAACCGACTGCGCCACCCAGGCGCCCCATATCCTTTGAATCCTTCTTCAAAACTTGTATTTTAAGGGGAAATACTTTTTTAAGTGAACTCTACCCCTGACGTGGGGCTCCAACTCATGACCCCAAGATCAAGATTTGCATGCTCTACTGACTGAGCCAGCCAGGTACCCCAAGGGAATAATTTTTTTAATATACATTCTTTATAACTCTTGTTCCTAAATTGATAGTCATAAGTAGTTGGCTCTCTTGTTTTGGCTATATCTGAACTTTAGTTCTCTGCAGGCTGGGGCTTCACCTCTCTGATCCAGACCTGGAGCCGGACAGAGAGCAAATAAATGATATGCTTGGAAGCTTTGCTTCTTAATTATTAAGAAGAAGGAAGTGTGTTCCTGGCAGAGGTACAGCAGAAGAATGGGGGAAAGGAAGAGTTTGGCTTGCAAGAGTGTTATCAGGGCAGAGAGGAGGAAAGAGTGGGGGGGCAGGAGCCATGTGACTCGAGGCAAGAGCCTGGTATGCCCTGTTGAAGAATTTTGAACTTAATCCAATAGATATAAAAATATTCCATTTCATTAAGTTCATTCCTGTAGCATTGTAGACTTTGGTTTGCTCTTGTGGTCAGGAGATGAGAAATCTCTATGAAGTTGATTCTCAACTTGACAAGAAAGAAGGAAATACAAGAGGAAGGGAACCAAAGGGGAGTAATCTTAGGAAATCAAAAGAGGAAACAGAAACAAATATAGAAATAGAAACTTTGTGAGACAAGTATATATTTTTATGTCATTGTAAGTTATATATAATTAAAAAATTTCTAGCCACATTTTAAAAGTACAAAGAAATAAAAAATTTAACAAATATTTAATTCAGTATATCTAAAATATTATTTCAGTATGTAATCAAAATGAAAATTAGTGAAGTATTATATGCTTTTATGCTTATCTTAAATCTAGCTTGTATTTTACACTTCCACATCTCAATATGGATTAGCCACATTTTTGGTGCTCAAAAGGCACATGTTTCTAGCGACTATCATTGGATGGTGCAGGTCTAGAAAAAGAGAGTGGTGAAATGATGCAGACAGGTGTCTTGTAATTGACAGTCTAGTCTTTAGTGACTTTATTTCTGAGGGCCCAAGACTGAGGACAGATTACATTAGGCTGTGCTAAAGGATGAGAGATAAGGAAATGGAGATAAGAAAGTAAAGTGTTCATTTCTAGAAGCTAGTTTTAATGGGAAAGAAAGAATTCTGGGCAGGTGCAGATTTATTTTTGAGATGGAAGACATTTATGGGCTCATGGTAGAGAATTGATAGGAAGAGTTGGTTTGAAAAATCAAGAGATAGTATTGTAAAGGAGTTAAGATACCTTGAGATGGAAGGGTAAGGAATGTTCAGAAGCTGATGGATTGGAACTTTCAGATGAAAGGCAAAGCAATACATTAAGAGTATGAGAGGTGAGGTGGGGTGGAGATGCAGGAGAATTGAAAAGAGTGAAGCAGATTTGGAATCTGGTGGAGGTGGAAGAGGCACTGGGCCAGTAGAGGCAGGAATTGTATGTAAAGTGGGAGCAAGTATTTGCTAGTAAGGAGTAAGGGGCTGATTTCAAATATATGAATTTCTAGGGGCCCTCGGGAGGCTCAGTCGTTTGGGCGCCTGGCTTCGGCTCAGGTCATCATCTTGCCATCTGTGAGTTTGAGCCTCACATCAGACTCTCCGCTGTCAGCACAGAGCCTGCTTTGGGTCCTCTGTCCCCCTCTCTCTCTGCCCTTCCCTTGTTTGTTCTCTCTCTCTCAAAAATAGATAAACATTAAAAAAAATAATAAAGTATTGTGAATTTCTCAATTGCTATTTATGCTTGAACTTAATGAAATCTATTTACCTGTTAAAAATCCCTTTTTCGTTTACTTTCAGGGCCATAAAAGTCACTTGTAGAAGAGATTTATAGTAGGTTCATTCTTGGTTTCCTTCCTGGGAATAAAAGCTACTCCAAAGAAGGAATTTATGGCAACTTCATTTCCCAAAAGTTTTTGCAATTAGTGAGATAAGGAAAGGTCTAACAAGGCTTCTTTCTGCATCTGTTAAATCCAAAATGTCTTCAGCCTAAAGTAATCTTCATATCAACTATGGGGTTCTGAGTGAGTCCCCACAATATCATATTTGAAGATATTGTGAAATTAAGGTAATCCCTGCTTTTTAGACAGTGAGTTTTGTGTGTTCAGAATGAAGCAATGCCATAGGCTCACCACTGATTATCTATGCTCTGTAATATCCTAACTATATATATTCTGCTCTTTGTTCAGCTACTGAGAGAAAAATATCAAATAGTGGGAAAAGGGAATCAGAGGTCTCTATTAAATATATAAGTAGGATAGAAGGAGTCAAGATTCTACCAGAAGAGCAGAACTAGGTGGATATATCAGGGACTTACTGTAAGGAATTGGCTTATGTTTGTGGGGTCTGGCTAAGCAAGACTGAGTCTATAGTGTAAACAGAAAGGGATGATCGTGAGCAGGTTGGAAACCCATAGGCATGTGCTTTTTTCCACAGGCAAGTTAGGAAAGAAGATCCTAGGGGAAGGGAGAGTAATTGTAGACCCAGATGTTGAGTCTTTTTTACAGAAGTCCTCAACACTCTTTTAAAAGTCTTCCAGTTCAGTAAATCGAGCCAACCTGGGATAAATCTCCCTTTTGATTAAAGTCAGCTCACCAGAGACTCTATCTACAAAATCCCCTCACAGCAGCACCTAGTTTAGTGTTTAATGAAATAACAGGGAGGTATGTGTGCCACTAAATGGCACCCACCTCCCTTCTGTACTCCAGCTCTTGAGAGAATATCCCTTGTTTTGTACCCTAATGGAAAACCTAGAAAGGAAATTCTAGGGACTGTGGTTCAATCCAGCCATACTGACACATCAGAAAGTCATCACAGATGATAAAATATGTCATAGTAAGAAGTGGATATTGTTTTAAATGGCTTTTAATCCTTATATTTATAAAGAGTTATAGGATTAATAGTACCATTTTGGTTAATCTGAGAAAAGAATAAAAATCTGGCCAACATCCAGAAACTTAATGGTCATAAATCAATTTTTAGGATATGTGTTTACCAAATGTTAGACATTTCATATAACTGCATTCTGTTTTGCTTTAGGCTACTTTTCGAGATCACACAAGAAGATGTTTTGTTTCTGGCCTCACCTCTGACCTTTGATCCCTCCGTTGTGGAAATATTTGTTGCTCTATCCAGTGGTGCCTGTCTGCTTATTGTACCAGCTTCTGTCAAAGTGCTTCCATCAAAGTTAGCTGCTGTTCTCTTTTCACATCACAGAGTAACTATTTTGCAGGTACATTTTAGGAGCAAATGAAATGTTTTGTCTTCTATTTAGCATTTTATTTTATTTAAAAAATTTTTTTAGTGATTTATTTATTTTTGAGAGAAAGAGAGAGCACGAGTTGGGGAGGGGTAGAGAGAGACGGGGACACAGAATCCGAAGCAGGCTTCAGGCTCTCCAACCGAGCTGTCAGCACAGAGCCCTATGCAAGACTCCCAACTCACAAACTGTGAGATAGTGACCTGAGCTGAAGTCGGACACTTAAACGACCGAGCCACCCAGGCACCCCTATTATTTAACATTTTACATGTTTTAGAGAATATTTTGTATTCCTGTAGGTTGTTTTTTTACAGTGGACTAATGATAATCTAGTTAGATTATTAAGGGTTGTCTTCTGATGATATCATCTAATTTACTTGAGAATGGGAGAAAAAAATCAGTTAATTCTACCTAGAAAATTATTTCACTGTGCATTTGGAATAGTAATAACTAGAGGAAGTTGACCTTCACTCAAATCTGTTGGGATACACTTGCCTCTCCTGCCTTAAACTTCAGCTTTCAGTAGAAAATACAAACTTTAAGTTATAATTAGGTAGGAATTTACATTTTCTGACTTTTTATATCCGTATATTTTACATTAACTTATGGAAACAAATACTTTGTCATCTTTAAAGATTTTAAAATGTGTATCAAAGTAGGTGACTGGTATACAAGCCTTAAGATAATTACATTGCAAATGGTTAAAGATACTAGAGAGAATTAGCAAAATTGTATGTGTATCATGATAAACTAAAAATATCAGATTTATATTTAGTGTAAGAGACTCGAGGATGTTAAATTTCTGCCCTAAAGGCAAAATTTGATGTTGACTTTGTTTTTAGGCAATGTTTTTCGTCCTTAAAAAAATATTATGTGTTTATAAATATATATAAAATGAATATAATAATGTGGCTTGCTGGGTATATCAATTGCATATAAATTCTCATCTATGGTGAATCATTCTGTCAGTCTGGGCAGGATTTTAACTTATTTTTCTATAAAATTCAAGGAGCATAATTTTTAGGAAACCTTTTCAAAATACCTTAATAGATTTGAGAGAGAGTCATTAAATGGAAGGAGATTTTCCTTCTATGTCAAGTCTATGAGTTTTATCTCTTTAAATCCAATCCCCTTTAGCACAGTTTCAGTTAAATTTACTTTGGCAGTGGTTTTAACCTTTTTGGGGTCATGAGTCCTTGTGAGAAACTGATACACATTTATTAACTATGATTCCAGAACACAGCAAGTTGTGCATATATTCATGGTGATTTTATTTAACTCACAAGACTTAATTTGGGGTATTATCAGCAGATCAAATTTGAGTTTGAGTAAGGAAGAGAAGTATACAAGCTGACAGGATGTCCTTTCCTTTGTATAAGGCATGTCCTGTCTTGTTAGAAGGCGGAGGAGGAGGAACTGTAAAGTATCCTCCAAACTGTGAAGGGACTTTGAGAACAAAAAATGAAGCCGGCAACTCCACACAGTTTACATACGTGCAGTTTATGCATGGTAACATAGTGACAGGGAGGACTGGCTGAATGATGATGCAGAGATGTGCAGCTGTTCTCCGTCAAGGCAGGACCTTAGTCTATAGATTTTATAGACCAAAGATGTATAGGGGACAGTACTGTAGTCAGATCAAAGGGTCTACATGTACCTAATTGGCAGCTAATCTTTACTTAGATCTTGTGGCACCATCTGTGCCTGAAGAAGGGGAGAGAGACTAGATTATTTTGAACACATTTATGGACGGCCAAAGCAAACTTCTCCCTCCCCCCTCAATCCTGACTTTGGCAGACATTTCTAAGGTACAGATATTAATCTCCAGAGGGTACACAATACAAAGCCCCAAGGGAGGTCATCTAGCCGACATGAACGAGATGGAGTGCTACAGATGGATTCGGTGTGGTCAGCTCTCTTGCATGTCTCATAGTGAATTTTAGCTTTGTTGTTAGGGTTCATCTTTTCCTTCCAAATCAGATTTCTCATCAAATGATATATAAGTCATCAAGGATTTTTGCTTATGTGTATAATGTATATTATATACTTTAAAAAGAGCATCCTGTATAGATTTTATTTATGAATAATCTTACCTAAAAAATTAATTTAATTTGTTTTTACTGTTTATTTATTCTTGAGAGAGAAAAAGAAAGGGCGAGAGAGAGAGAGAGAGAGCGCATGAGCAGGGGGACAGAGAGAGGGAGACATAGAATCCGAAGCAGGCTCCAGGCTCTGAGCTGTCTGTAGCACAGAGCCTGACACGGGGCTCAAACCCATGAACTGGAAGACCTGAGCCAAAGTTGGACTCTTAAATCAACTGAGCCACCCAAACACCCCATAAAGTTTAAAAAAATTTTTTTTTTCAACGTTTATTTATTTTTGGGACAGGGAGAGACAGAACATGAATGGGGGAGGGTCAGAGAGAGAGGGAGACAGAGAGTCGGAAACAGGCTCCAGGCTCTGAGCCATCAGCCCAGAGCCTGACGCGGGGCTCGAACTCACGGACCGCAAGATCGTGACCTGGCTGAAGTCGGACGCTTAACTGACTGCGCCACCCAGGCGCCCCACCCCATAAAGTTTTAAAAATTTAAAGTGGAATATCTTGATTTATTGTGGGGGAGAAAGACCTCAAAGTGAAATAGACTTAGCTTTTGAGGTAAACACTTATTTTGTTTCAGGTATAAGGACCTTTTGGAAAGAAAGGTCCACTTTTTGGTGTTTTACAAACCTAAAATATGTTTGAACTTTTTTTTTGTTTTTTTTTTTTTGCACATACTCTGGATAACAAGTTATATTAAACTTGATGCACTTTAAAAGTGAAACCACTTAATTAGAGCAAAATCTTAGGTTGCTAGCCACCAAAATGTCAGCTTAAGTGTTTTGTTTTTGAGAGAGAGGGCACGTGCATGGGGGAGGGAGGAGCAGAGAGAGAGGGAGACTCTCAGGCAGGCTCCACACCCAGCTCGGAGCCCAATTTGGGGCTCAATCTCCCGACTGTGAGATCATCACCTGAGCTGAAATCAAGAGTCGGATGCTTGACAGACTGAGCCAATTAGGCACTTGTGTTTTTCATTTTTATGAGAATTTTACCTTAGAAATTTTGCAAGGAACCTTAACATCCCCTGTTTTTTCTGTTATTTCCTAAGTCCTATTTCTGTGTGCCTAGAATGATTTGGTAACAAAGTACATATATTGACTAGTATTTTGCCGCTAAATTTATCATTTCAGTTTGACTATCTGAAAAGTGTTACTATGCTTTATCTTGCTGAGTATTCATAGCTGTGCATTTATTTATAGAGTTCAAAGTTTAAGTTATTTTTAGCACCGGAAATGAAGGCCAGAACATTTCAGTTTGACAAGAGATTTTCCTTATCGTAAAACTTGGTAGAACAGTTAATTTGGTTGAGGATGCCTTATAAATAGGGTGGCCATTATAATTTATTACCCCCAAACCCTGAATGTTGAGAGTGAATGGAGGTGCTAAATTCCTAGACAAGAATCTGGAACAATAAGTTCATATTGGGATGTAGGGTCATTCTGTTACTTAAATATTTTGACAAACCAAGACTTTAAGTCATCTTTTTGAATTAAAATTCAAGTTGTCCATTAGTGCTGCATCTTTTACTGAAAGAAACGATTTAAAAATCTTGA